GGTCTTCGTTTTTGAGGGTCTTCGTTTTTGAGGGTCATCGTTTTTGAGGGTCTTCGTTTTTGAGGGTCTTCGTTTTTGAAACACCCCACTACCAGGTGCTGCTAGTTGGGGACAATTCTGGAATGTAAACCATCACTTGGCCCTTGGTCACAGCCTATGGAACGAGGCACGGCACTCGATGTCATAGAGGGAAACTGCTGTTTTCTTTCTTTCTATTTAAGATTTTCCTTGGCAAAATTCCCATTGATCTTTAGATCGATTGAGTGCAGGCAAACTAGAAAACTTTGATTGGGATACCGGTGGGGAACACGAAGCGCTTGGGTGGGAGAAATGTGAAGGACACGAATCACATGACCGTGACTCAGCGCCTACATCACAAGGTCAGCGGTTACGGTATTCTAAGTATCAACACAAAGATTAAATGTTCTACTTGTTCTCCGAACTGCTGCTTTCATAGCTAAGTAAGGTTGGTTGTAGTAATTCCTTTTTCTTGTATGTTTTTCTCGTATAAGTTTTACGGTTTCTACGTGTGAACACGAGGAACCGATCGCAAATTTTCAACAAGTACCCTTCGGCGTCATTGGAAACTCATGCATGCGTCACTGGATCACTTGAGTCACGAGTTTTCCCTTTCTTTTGTCTAATATAATTTGCTACAAAAGCCGATACTCATTTTCTTTTTCCAAAGACCCATTCTTTTTAAAGAGGAGAAAACTTCAAGTGTTGGTAAGAATGATTAGATGTTAAAATCTTCACTATTTCCCTCAACTGATTCATTCCCGATGTTCTAAAGTGTTGCTAACTAGTTTAATAAGTTATCTAATTCTTTTTGGATGTTCTTCAAGATAAAAGAAAGCGATCCCGTTGAAAATCTAGGATCTTCTTTTACTTAACTTCTCTTTCCATGATTGTCTTTCCTTTAAACTTTTCTTTTTGAAATCGACGATTAATTTCTAACTCATGTGTATGTAGATTGTAGGTTTCTTCATAATGGCGAATGCATACACTTAAAATTAACGGAATTTCGATTATTCTATCTTCAAGCATTTATAGTCTTTCTCTAATATGTGCTTGTTAACTCTGGATAGTTCTGGATAGTGGGATCGCTGAGATAACCTCGTACTCATTTAGGAATACTTCGAAATCTTACTTTACATTTAGCAAGTTTTCAGGGATTGCGCTTAAGTCCTAAGACATGCAGCATTTTAACTGTCAGTCTTTTGGGTTTAGAGGGGATGTAATGTATTTGTAAAGATAAAGCAAAACAACAATCTTTTCGTCTAAAACTTTTACCATTTGTCAACCAGACAAATCAGACAAACTTGATGGGGAAATCATTTTACCAACTAAAGGAAAATTTGAAAAACTTTAATTAAAAAAAAATATATGTATGTATTTTGTGGTTGTCCTATTTTAAAGAAATCAATGGAATTTTTTTTGTTTCCAATGGTCATTGAAGCTACTCAAAACTGAAATTTTGTAATTTCTGCTGGTTGATTCTTTGTGATTGGCATTTAATCAGAACACAGCTTGACACCTGGCTGATTAAGAAAACAAATTGAATAAGAAGTCACCTTGTTAAAAGAAGCCTCAAATTCACATTCACGGTATGCAAACCATACTTTCAGTTAGTTTCCCAAATTATGACTCCAAGAAACTGCAAGCCAGATCAAACTCTTCTGTCTTAGTTTAGTTTGATGTATATATTGAAGTGAAGGGTTGTTTTCCTTTTATAAAGATCATTCAACTGTACATAGTTAACTATGAACTGTATGAAAATGAAACGTGTCGTAGATGTCTGTAAACCATTATCGTTTTGCATCATCTTCTCAGTAGCATGGTCACAATATACATTTTTTTATCAAATTGAATTTTCAAATCAGCCGCTGTGAAACTGAGTGAATCATGAAATGTGAAGATATCTATAGAAAGTTATTTTGTCTAGTCACAATAATAATAATAATAATAAATACAGTCATTACACTTCAATGGCGAAACTTCAATTAAAACAAAAAATCTTTCACGATCGCTCTCGTCAAACGCACTTTTTACATGCCTTAAAGTGATCTGATTTCTCGGTTGACATTTTTTTTTTAAGACGACGCAAACAAAAAACACTCTAAATTAAATATATTCAAATGATGATGGTTTTTGAGGAGAGGGGAAAACTGGAGTACCCAGAGAAAAACCTCTCGGAGCAGAGTAGAGAACCAACAAACTCAATCCACTTATGATGCCACGTCCGGGAATCGAACCTGGGACACATTGATGAAAGGCAAGCGCTCTCACTGCTATGCCAACCCTGCTCCCCACAAGTGTGGGACAAAGAAAAAAATTCCGAATCTCCACGAGGAATGGAACCTCAGACCTTCGGATTCTGTACTCCAATGCTTTGCCTCTGAGCCACATATTAATTGTCACATAATCATTGTCACTGCTAATCACCGTCGCAAAGTACAGCAACGACGCAGCTCAACAAGGTCGAACCGAAAGCTTACAATGGCGCCTCTGGCAGCCACTATACAGTCTGTGTGTGACCTTGGAGCACAGCTTACAGCCAGGTGGAATCAGCTGTATGTTGGTTTTTGGTGAGGGAGGAAAACCAGAGAACCCGGAGAAAAACCCTCAAAGCAGAGAAGAGAGCCTACACAAACTCAACCCACTTTTGGTATCTGGTTTGGGAATCGAACCCGGGCCACATTGGTGGGAGGCAAGTGCTCTCACCATTACGCCATCCCTACTTCCGACTCTATTGTGAACACGACCCATTATGAAGCTCATATAGTAAGAGTTATTTTATTATAATTATCTACAAGGCTAAAAGATTAAGAAAAAATTATTAAAATGTTTAAACCAAACATTTTCGGTTCTTTGCCATCATCAGGTTGAAAATAATGACCATCTGTACATATACATATATATCTTATGTGATTCCTGATGGGAAAAGCTTGGAGATACAAGAAATAACGTTTTTGTTCAAACTGAGGCGGAATTGTGGGATCATTAGCCCCTCTACAATCCAACGCTTGTGGAATGTTTCTGCTGAGGAGAGAACATGCCAAGTGAAAGAATGTGATGGATTTTCCCACAAGTGTTTTGCAGGTTCAGAGGTGTGAGCAGAATTTGAATGCTCCGCAATGCGTACTGCTAGCCAGGTAGTCACAACATATGTGTGACTTTACAAACATGACGAAACAATCTCATCAATAATTTAAGATGAAGTAAATTAATAAAATTAAAAAGACACCTATTAATAAAGGATCTCTTATTAAAGTGTTCTGTTTTAACAGCAGGTAAAATAAAATCATGTCCTCTGTTTCGCAAAAATCTCAGTTTCTTAGGAGGTAATAGTTGATAAAGGGGGTGGGAAGGAGTATCTAATAATGTTCCATAGCTTACAGTCTCGATTTCTTGTAACTTCAGCTATTGACCACTTTCATAAATGGCTGCTGGATTGATAATTCTTTTGTTTAAATTTAAATTAGCCTTTCTGGCCTCATTCTCCAGTTCAAAATTCAAAAGAATGCATTATCTCAAGCGAGGCTAGTGAGGCTAATTTGAATTTAAACAAAAGAATATCAATCCGGCAGCCATTTATGAAAGTGGGGTATTATGTACATACAGGTTGTTGGTGTAACCAACAACCGCATAAATTATGACAACCGCATAAATTATGACATGCCTCTTGCATAATGCTAGAAAGGGAAATGTCAAAAGTGTCAAGTGTTCAGCTTTCTATTACCAATCATAATGGAACTGATGACTGAAAACAAGTACAAAACTGCAAATGATCATAATTTCGGCCAGAAGTGTACATCTACTAGGTAATTATCTCATACCTAATTTTCTGTTTGTTTCAGGAATTACACATTCATGATGGCCCACTCAACCGTTGCCCTGTTAATAACTCTTTCTGTATCTGTGGCTCTGTCAGAACTTTTGATCAACGACAATGTTTGGCACTCTTGGAAAGAATTTCACAGCAAGAAATATGCATCAGATGATGAAGAAAGCCTGCGCTATACCATCTGGAACGAAAATATGAAGACTATCAAGAAACATAATGCTGACCCAAACAGCAAATTCACCCTTCAAATGAACCATTTAGGAGACATGGTATACCAATTGCTGTAAACTATGAATTTAATTATTAAAGATAATATATGATACACAAAATTGAAATATGTCCAATGATTTTTTTTCTGAAATGTCAACTTTCCAAGGGCTTGACACTAATGGTAGCCCACTAGCCACAGACTAGTAGAAATTCAGTTTCAGCTAGTGGTTTTCAATTTCCACTAGCCAGTTCAGCTAGTAAACAAACTGAAATTGTTGTAACATGTATAACATCTAAGATGTCACTAGCCACTTGGCTAGTAAGTTGAAAAGTTAGTGTCGAGCCCTGTTTCCAAATTTGCTATTAGTAGACACTTTTTGTTTAGCAACTCATCTCTTTTGGTTGTGTTTATATATAGACAAGTAAAGAAGTTCATTTGATTATTAATGGCTACAACAAAGCTCTCAAGGACACAAAGAGCAAAGAAGGTTCATCTACATTTCTGCCACCAAGCAATACTGAGCTTCCAGACACAGTTGATTGGAGAAAGAAGGGTTATGTTACTAAGGTCAAGAATCAAGGGCAGTGTGGGTCATGCTGGGCATTCAGTACAGTAAGAAATTTTGTTTTGTTTTGTACTGTTTTTTGTTTTTTGTTTTTTTTTTGAGGTAATTTGGTTATATCAACTAAGTTGAAATTGTAAATTGGCCACCGTAAAGAGTTAAAAGGCTGACATTTCAAGCCTTACCCTGTTTCTGTCGTTCAAGCGGGTTACCACCGCACCCAACTTATTGATCGACATTCAGCACTACAAACGTCGCATAAGGAAGATTCGGACCGCATTCCATTCACTCTCACGTTTCACCCTTGCAACCACTCAGTTAAATCCATCATTCTTAAAAACTTTAAATTACTTCAAAATGATCCAGAGACAAGCACTATCTTTTCGCAGCCTCCGCTCATTTCATTCAAATGCGACAAAAACATAGGCAATTTTTTGGTCAGAAGTTCTTTTCAGACTAATGACCAACCAGGCACTTTATATACTCGGCATTCACTTGGATACTGACGGCTTAAGTCAAATTCTCCGTTAAGAAATGTTTGTCGATTCACTCCGACGAAGGGCTAACGCTCGAAACGTCAGCTTTTGTAATCGTTACAGTGGCCAATTTACCACTTCAACTTTGTTGATATATCCAAATTATTTCGTTACTCCCACCGACGTAGCCCCAAACAGTTTCTTTCGAAACTATCAGCCCTTATTTCAAGCGTTAGCCCTTCATCAGAGGGAATGGAGGAATTGTGGATTGTGTGTGGCTTTATATGCAGAAAGTGGAGCTACGCTATTGGTGGGATTGTAGTGATGAGAAAAAGACAAATAAAGTAGTAGAATGAAAAGCGTTTGTTGATACCTAAGGGGTTAAGAGTGCCGATTTGAAAGATAAACTTTTGTTCAAGAATTTTGTGGCTTTCAGAGCTACCTGAATGTAAGGAAAGGCCACAGATTGCCATATGCTGCCTTGAATGATTAGGTACATAAAACTGTCAAGCGACTGGTTTTGATGCATCCTTGTCATTCCTTTCAATGTTGAGAAGGTGTTCTCGGAATCGGTCACCTAGTCATCTTCCTGTTCTTTTATTTAACCCTATACACCTCAGTATGCAACTTGCATATTTCCTACAGTACTAACCAGGATGATTTCATCAACAAACAAGATCTTGCGTTTGGTTGGAAATCTTTTCTTTTATTCCGTGTCAGTCATGTTTGATTCAGCTGTGTGGTGCTGTAAGGAGAAATTAGTAGCTGAAGTCACCCTAATCTGTGTACTGGAACCTTTTGAGTACAATTGACGTTTAGGAAGTGATGTTTGCAGTGAGGCCCTTCCCCCAAAAGATAAACCAATTATACTTCTGATCCATTAACTACATGTCAGTCATCATTCTCTCTGAAGCCTTTCAATCTGAAGATCTTGTTAGTAAATGAATTCTCCTTGCTGTCTGCCATACAATTCTTATGATATTAGTTAAAATAATTTGGTATATTGGATCAATGAATAATCCCCTAATTGATATTTTTCTTCCTTCTCATTAGTTATTTACCCACTCATGGAAGTAAAGTTTTTTAGAGGAATTTTTTTGCAACCTTTTCCATTTCAGACTGGTTCCCTTGAAGGCCAGGATTTCAAGAAAACAGGAAATCTGGTGTCTTTAAGTGAACAAAACCTGGTTGACTGCTCTGAGAAATTTGGAAATCATGGTTGTGAGGGAGGCTTGATGGACAACGCATTCAAGTACATCAAGGCTAACGATGGCATTGATACAGAAAAAAGTTATCCCTACAAGGGCAAGGTTGGTACTTAATTGGTAACTCTATATCAAACCTAGAAAATCAATCTCTCTCTTCCATTCCGTAATTAATATACTGTCTGTTGGCTGTTCAACCCCATTCCTCCATTTGTCCCTGACTGCCTCTACTCCACACTGCTTTGTGAGATCTAAAACAAAAAAAGCTGGTTATGGATTGCTGAAATATTGTTGACAAAATCAGGAGTGAGATCTGCAACTTTGTTTCTCCAACTGCCTGAGGGCTACATATACACACATGGAGAGATGTGAAGTCCACTTCTGTGACTCTTGAGGTTTCTGAAATTTTTTTTTTCCAGAAGTCAGTTCATGTCTGCAGAATTTTCTTGTCTTTGTAAGAACAGTATCAATTGTTACTCTCTGGTTCAATCTCTTGCCTCAGATATCTGGTTTATTTTGGAAAGGTGAAAGGTATATCACATGTGAGGCCTGAGTAGTCCAGTGGTCAGTGCGCTGGACTCTGGGTCAGATGGCCCCGGTTCAAGTCTTGGCTGGGGCTTGACGTTGTGTCCTTAAGCAAGACGCTTCACTCACATTGCTTCATCTTCTCAGATAGGAGGTAATGCTGGAGATCCCGTCTCTTGTACCTATCAATTAGTTAATTTCAGCAGGGGACGTTAAAGAACCCACATCATGAGATTACTATGATGTGGTCTGGTCTGTTTACTGGGAATGGGGGAGGGGGCCTCTGTAAAATTTCCCCTTTATTAATTGTAAACTGCCACCGGCAGTCTGGAAAAGTCTTCTGTACAGTGTTGTAAAGCGCACTATAGCATTTACATGGAAATGCGCTATAGAAACCGATATATTATTATTATTATTATTATTATTATTATTATTATTATTATTATTATTATGTACTTTATGTACCCACTTTGACCATTCCTCTAGAATGAGAGGTGCAAATTCAATGCATCATCAGTTGGTGCGGATGACACTGGTTACGTTGATGTCAAACATGGAGATGAGGATGCCTTGAAGATTGCTGTTGCCACAGTTGGACCAATCTCTGTAGCAATTGACGCTGGACATATGTCCTTCCAATTCTACAAGGATGGTGTTTATGATGAGCCTGCCTGCAGCTGTGTTGACCTGGACCACGGTGTGCTGGCTGTAGGGTACGGAACAACTGCAGATGGGAAAGACTACTGGCTTGTCAAGAACAGGTAAGTATTTTGGGTGTGGCTTGCAATTGAAGGAGTGAATAACTTTTTCTGCATCCAATTCTCATGGAAATACAACAGTGTTCCCAGCCTAAACTGGGGAAGATCTGGTGTTATAATTCACCATTTCTGGTGGTCAAAGTTGTTTTTAAACAGTTTTTGAAACATCAAGTGTTTAACTGTAAGACCACTCACTGTTAATGTTGTTCATAAGCCTGCAAGTTAGTTCTCATGTGAAAGTGTTGCCTTAGGGCACAGCTTTCTATTACTCTGTCACTAGTCACTTATGGAAAAGGTACTGACACCCTCGAACATGCAGAAAAGATATGGAAACTGTCAAGTGACAACAGGTGTAAAAACCTGTAGTTCACGATTGTATTAAAAGATCTGCTGATTTTGTCTTTTTTTTTTTTTTTCGGTTTGTGCAGCTGGGGAAAAAGCTGGGGCATGGATGGTTACATTATGATGTCAAGGAACAAAGACAACCAATGTGGAATTGCCACAGATGCTAGCTACCCACTGGTTTAACAACCAGCTATACTCTACGGACTCAGGTCTTGAATAAAGAAACAATGAAATTTATGCATTCAGAAGCTTAGTCAAGTTGTTCAATTTATAGTTTATGGTATCACGTAGATGTAATTTTTCTTAAAGCAACTAGCTGTAAAATAAGTTAGGTTTTAAAAGACTTGTATCCAATTATTACATTCAATTGACTTGTCATAGTCAATTGTTAGTTAAGTGGTACTTTTGTTATATTATAGTTGAATAGTTGTCAGCTAGCTAGGGCTCTTAAGATCTGATTGAAGTTTAACACACAACTTAGATTTAAAACAGTAAAGGAACAGTCACCTCTAGTTTGTCAATATTTAACTTTTACTCATGCCCATATTTATTGTTAATAGATATGTGAAATTTCTGCTGGTTATATAATTAGTAAGTAAATGGTGTTGGGATTGTTTAAGTACTTGCCAGCTTGTATTCTTAGGTAACTTTATAATACTGTAAATTTTAATTTATTGATTAAAGTTTTCATTAAAAATTTGATTGGTGCTTGTATCAATGAAAGTGTGTTGGTAATAAGACTAAGTTGTTATCATTTCTGTCTTTGACCCTTCAGCTCCCAAGGCCTGATTTTTAATTCTCCCCCCAACTGCAACACATTTCCTTATAAACAAGCTGTTGCCTGTAAACACTTAAAAGACTTGATTACCAGTCAGAGGCTTCAGAAAAGAAGCAGTCCAACAAATCACAAGAATATTTGCCATGTACAGAGAGAGATCAGGATCCAGCGTAACAAGTAAACATACATGATGTTTGCACTGGGCCAGTTATTCATATAAACAAAGTTAAGCCATTTTTTAAAAAAACGGCATTCTAAGCCATCTTAAATTTGTGAACAGTGTCAAGAGGGCCAAAAGCTAATAGTGAAGGGGGCATCACTCTTAAAGAGAATCCTTGCAGCCCATTGCTTGCGCAAAAACCACAGTTTGGGTCAGACCTTGTGTAAATAACTGGCCCTTATTTATCCTTGCAGATCACTCGAACCAGAGCAGCAATCTCGCATCAGTCAGATTGAGAGAAGTTAAATTTAATATAAAGTCTGTCGATCTGCCTATGCTTTTTGCAGCATATTACTGACTCATGCTGAAACTGAAAGTGTATAATCATAGGTGAACAGAACTTGACTGAAAAATTGCTCAATTTCTGACAATGTCTTTCTATGATTCAAGAAATTCAACAATAACATCTGGACTTTTGCTTTTGAGGTTCGGTGTTTAATAACAATACTTTCAGTTAAATACTTGGTGTACGTCTCAATTGTCTATTCTGAATCAGTCATCAAATAAATACATCACTTAATAAAAGTATACTCATACCTATTATGTTCAAAATAAGTAAAAAAATTCTAAACCCTAGTTATCAGTACAAAAGGTGTATATCTAATTTTTGCTTCCAAATCATCACGACCTAATATTTCTAATAGAACAGTATAACAACAAACATCATAATTTTACTCCTCCTTGGTTTTGATGTCCCCCTTTTTACAGCAAATTCTACACAAACACCTGCATATGAATCTTATCACCATGATAACCAAGGTTACTATGGCAACAAGGAAAGCCATGACGTCCAGCAAGTAGTACTGGTACCAAGGGATGTTAAACACTTGAGCTCTGAGGTGTTGGGCTCCACCATGTCTGACCACATACTCTATCCAGTTGCAGGTTTCTTGTAAAGGTGTATAACGACGATCCTTTAACAACCTAGAGATGTGCATTGCTTTTGTTTGAAATCTGATAAAAAAAAGACATTAATGTAAATTGTTTTATGAAATAATGAATTTTACTTTTTTACAAATGTTAGCTTGCAGAAAATAATAGTTTATACAATCAATTCAGAGGCCGATACTTTTGCCCCCCCTCCCCCCCACAACACATCCATGCTATTTTTAAGACCACAAGGCAGTCTCCAATGGTACACAGGAGTACCAATATTGTTACCTGCGCCACAAAACTAACCAATCCCAACCGCGAAATGAAATATGATTGATACTTGAAAAACCATGAACACATGAAATGTATCTACAATGTTTAGTCTCACACGACCAGTCACATGCATGCGAAGACGTCAGAACAAGCACGTATTACCCCCCAAACTGCTCGCTAATCAGCATCATTCATACAATTAAAATTGTTTATGCCTGATTGGCCAAAAACATATTTCTATAAATCACTTTTGACAAATATACCATATACTACATACTGTGGTTCCCCTACAACTGTTTCAATTGTTTTAAACAGTTGTTGGGCACTGCATTTTTTATGATCAACACTTAAACCAAGGCCCAAATGCTCAGCTTTCTTAGCATTACTGTCTTGGTCTCCACCCAGAGGAAAGGCTACCACAGGGACCCCATGGTATGCTGACTCATACAGACTGTTATGTCCCACATGAGAGACAAAAGCTTTGATGTCCTTGTGAGCCAAGAGATCATTCTGAGGTAGCCACTGTACTGCTTTGATGTTTGAGTGAAGAGAGGATGGAATATAACCTGCCAGAAAGAAAAAGCACCCAGTTTAGAGCCCAGTGAGCCCTTTAGTACCAATGGTAATATATCCCAGTTTACACTGCATGAGTAGCAGTATTTCAACTTCTTATGACCAGGTTGCTAGTCTATCTCAAGTCACCCCGCCTCCCGGTTAGCTCAATTGGTTAGAGCGCCGGATTGTGTTGTGTGGGAGGTCGAGGGTTCGAGCCCCACCCGGACCAATACTCATGGTCTTAAAATAAGTGAGGAGAATTTGCTACCTTTCTATAATCAAGAAATGGATAGATATTCTAGTCCTCTCAGATAAGATGAATAAACCGAAGGTCCCATCTCCAGCAGGGTTAGGGGTAGGAGACATTAATTTTCCACGCAGGAGATTACTGTGTGGTGGATGTCCTCCCTTGGGTGGGATGGGTGGGTGTTGGCCCTGAAAAGCCCCTATGGGGAGTGGTCAATTAACCTATGTATGTACCTATGTATGTTTGTAGTATACCATCACATTTTCCAGAGAGGTTTAATTTATAGTTCCCCTTTTTAGATCCCTGAGTAGGAAGAGGTCCATTGACTGACACAATGACTAGGGTAGACCTCACAATTCAAAGTTCAACATTGTAGCCATTAAGGCCAGAAATCCCTCAATAACTCTGAGAGAGTGACATCTATTAATTAGTTAATTTGGTTAGGCTGGGGACATTAAAGAACCCACTCACGAGATTACTGTGATGTGGTCTGGCCTGTTTACTGGGAATTGGGGGGAGGGGGCATCTTCAAATAAGTTTTATTTGATTGTTTGTAAACTGCTGATGCAGTCCAGCCAAAGTCCCCCGAAAAGTGTTGTGATGCGCATTTGATCATATCTACATGTTAATTTGCGCAATATAAATGTTAAATTATTATTATTATTATCATAGTGACAGAATCTATTTACCATGTCAGTGCATAATCACATGGAAATTGTGATCACCCACTAACTGACAGCTAGGGGACAGACAAGCAGATAAGTATACTCAGAGAGATAAAAATACAAAACTTGGACAGACTAACAGACCAAAAACTGATTGACTGAGATACACCTGACTGCATGATTGCCTGACTGACTAAATGACTAACAGTATCTACTGACTGACTAACTTATTGTTTCGCTCCGACGAAGGGCTAACCCTCGAAACATCAGCTTTTGTAATCGTTACGGTGGCCAATTTACCATTTCAACTTTGTTGATATATCCAAATTATTTCATTACCCCCACCGACGCAGCCCCAAACAGTTTCTTTAGAAACTATCAGCCTTTATTAACTTATTGACTAAGTGGCTGATGTGAGTCAGGGTACATGGGCAGTGACTGATGGTTTATCTCTGAGCAACAAACAAAGGGGAGCAGGATGGAAAGATGAACAGTTTTAATTAACTCTTTAAATACATGTTAATATCAATATGAATATTCTCCATACTGTTCTCTATACATTTCCTAAGGTGCTGACAAGGAGAATTTGTTTAACAATCAAGAGCTTCTGTAGTTATTGATCATTTCCATTATTCTCCTGACCTTAGAATGTGATTCAGGGGTGATGCTGTCAGGAGAAATTAGATGCTAGTCACTCTTAGGTTTAAAGGGTAAGTGGCCTATTCATAAACTTATTCAATTTTTAAAAACTTCTTTGTGAAAGGATGAACACCTTTAAGTCTCCACACAACTTTTTGTTTCACTTTTCCAAATGCCTCAGCTAGCATGTCCACTTTCTCTTTTGGAAGGATTGAAGCCACCATTGAGCCAAAGGAGACAATAATAAAACCATGACCCCTTGAATTACTGACAAATTCTTCTAAATCAGGGGGGAGGGGTTGAGCATCTTTGACATTCAGTGGTCCAACCATAATATGACCTATTGAATAAAATGATACGACAAAATATGTTATATTTTAACTTTTGACAGTGAGTTGTATGATTCCTTGAAAACCATAACAATTTAAATTAAAAATCCAATCTTGAGAGATAAAGGGTTAATTGGTTAAGTTTTATGGGTTCTCACCTGGCAACAAGGGTTGTGGGTATTCCAGTGCAAAATCTGCCATGATTAAAAGTAATTCTACATCAGCAACAGCTTCCTCAAAGCTTCGTTCAGCTGTGATGTTGTATCTCATTTTAAGAGCATTCATTGGTCTGTTATAAACTATACTTAGGAACAGTCTCTCTCCAATGTATGATCCCAGATTCGTCAAACGTTCCATGTACGTCATTTTATCAGTAAATCCAGTAGGAAGTTGAGGAACATAGGAAATTGGTGAGGGTATCATGTGATAAAAAGCATCTGGGCTGTTAGGGGGGTAGGGGAATAACTCAACACGCTGAACCTTGAGGAGTTCTCCAATTAATGCTGCACAGAATGCTCCACTATCATAGATGAGGAGATCATAGTTTTCCAACTCCTTGAGTAATTCAGTGGAGTTCAATGCACTTTCACATAATGTTTCTTGAATCTTGCTCATCCTGAAAAGCACCTCCATCATTTTTTCCTTCTAGCTCAAGGGGTACAAGGGTTTCCTCTAAGAATCCTGGCTTGTAAGGTGCTTGGTAAATCCTGTGTGGCACTTCCTGACTTGGTTTCATTTTGTCAAAAGATGACGGAACAACCATCATAACCTAATTACAACGGTACCAATAAAAATCAAAGGTATAAAATTAATTGCTTATAAATGTTAAAATTAATGTTCTTACCCTTCACACCCTATGAGTGACCAGCATCTAATTTCTCCTTACAATAATAGTGCTGAATTACTCATTAAGATCGTGAGGATAAAGGAAATGATCAGCGACATAAGAATTTTGGGTTTAATTGTCAGGGCTCAACACTTACAAACGGTAGTCAACGAGCCTCAGACTAATAGAAATTCAGTTTTGGTCAGTGGTTTTCAATTTCCACTATCTAGTTTGGCAAGTAAACAAACTGAAATTGTTGAAACATCTAAGTTCTCACAATCTATTTGGCTACTAAGTTGAAAAGTTAGTGTTGAGCCTTGATTGTGCAGTAAATTCTCCTTGTCACTGCCTAAGGAAATGTATAGAGAAGATCACGGAGAATATGGATGTTGATGTTAGAGTGTATTAAAAGGGTTACCTCAGTCAAACACTCTCGACGGAATTTTTTGGATATCTCACTCAATCTTCATAAAATAAAGCATTTAAACTGAAGTTCCGATGTGCAGAGCAACTAAACTTTATTTCAATCGCACGTTGCTGTGGTTGTAAATTGGCTTTGTCGTGACCTTCATGCACAGTAAGGGTTCAGAAATCTAACCTCGGATTTTCCAACAGAAAGTACCCTTTTATTGCTACCGAACTAAGAAAAATTTTAAATCCTTTTTTGAGAACGGAATTTAAGATATTAGGGAAATTTGCAAATAAATCGTTTGAAATTTATCGTAATTTATGGCCTCAGAAGGAACGTAAACAAAGAGAACAACACCTGCTGGTCGAGCTCTGGAGCAGACAACACACATGTACTTAACTTGAAATCGATTTCAGTAGGATTACAGTGATCGATGCAAAACTAATCTGACCCCTAGCACCAACATTAAAAAATAAATTTCCATGATAATTTCTCCCCCTAGCTAAAAAAAAAAAATAATTGTATTATGCAAATAGAACGAAGGACAAGTCACGCGACCTCATGTCCACGAGTTGCCAACTCTGCCAGAATGTTTCTTGTGTTTATGTACTGTGATCCTCCTGTGGTATGGAAACCAGCTATTCGCGCTGAAAAAACTGAGTTAATTGCTAGAGTAAAAACTAACAGTAGCAAAAAAGAATAATTAAAAGGATGGTGCAACCCTATCAAAACAGGGGCCATCTTAGAATACTCTCTCGCTCCCAGACTCCTAGTTTTCAACTTTTCATTGACAGCGGGAAGGCGAAGGGTGATGAGTATGAAGGGCGGGTGGTGGGGTCTCGATCGGTGCGGTGGGAGGGTACGGCGAGGTACAATCTGCATTGTTGTTCATTTTGCTGTTGGTACGAATCGCGTACGCAAGAAACGAATAATTACTTCTATGATTAGGATATTTTAGGTTAAAGTCGGTGGTTCTGAGAATTTCACAGTCAATTTATTTTTTTTCCTCTTGTTCGTGGACATAAGAGTAGCCATTATTTATCACCTGGTTGGGAGGGGTAGCCAGGGGATTTTGGGGGGGCCACTTTTTATTCAGGGGGAACGGAGGGTGAATCATTCGTCGCTTACTGAGTATAAACTGAGGACTATAGAAAATGATAATTGACTGCCAATAAGGGGGTGCGGTTCATAAGTATTTGCTGGGTTTTATGGGGGATGAGGTAAATTTCCTTAAAACACAACCAACCTCCCCCCTTACCCGGCAATTAAGGCGATCATTTATATGCTCAATGTCAGTGCTGGCAAGCGTCAGGCTGGTATCATCCGCGTACATTCTGGGTTCTGAATATGTCAGACTATGTTTCAAGTCATTAATATTTATCAAAAACAGAAGGGGTCCTAAATTGTTCCCTGGGGAACACCACATCTTGAACATTTCAGAGTTGACTTACAAAAATCAAATATGACAAATCTGAATTCGATTATTGAAATGGCCAATAAGAAATCGGATTTAACTTAACTCTTGAATAATTTCATAGAATTTGGCGAAGAAATACGCCCTAGGTTGGCTTTAGAATCCTTTTAATTTATCTAACAAAAAAAAAAAAAATAGAATATGCTTTCCATGGCTGGTAGTTCGTTGCTTTACACTACCATCATTTTTTTTTGATAAGAAAAGACCAAGCTTCAAAAACATTAAGGGCACATTCTGTAACTACAACATGCCATAATTTTATCATCGCAGCCGTAGACACCTCTATACAACTTTCTGTTTAAAAATTTGAGAATCGAGTCTTTTTTCCAAAGATTCGAAAAATTAGTCTTAGCTTATCGTCATATCGATAAATTAGTTTAGTCAAATAAACTGAAGTCAAATCAGAAGCGAATTGCGCAATCCAGATTTCAAAACTATTCCCAAAGTCAAAAATTTTACAGAGAGGCTTAGCAGTTTAACCTGACTCAAGTAACTCCAGCTGTCACGGTTCTTATGTTACGATTTGCATCACAAACAGATAGACGAAGAAAACTGAACGGCCTTCTTAAACATACTCAAGAGATAGGAAGGAATTAGATTCGTATAAAGGCAAGATTGACACTGATAACAAACGTTTGAATCCTCAGGACTCAAGGGATTGTCCAACTAGTTTTGAGGCTCAGAAAATACATGCACAGCTTCATTAAACTGTACTCTTTTCTTGCTTCTTGGATGTTCCTTGGCGTAAACCTCACTCTTCTGTTCATCTCTTTTGTTTCCATCGCGGTGTAGGCCTTCCAGCGCTGGTTGTTGAATGTTCCAAGTTGTGTTGGGACAACTGAAACGCCGAGAGCTGTTTTCCTCAATTGACGACGCTTTCACGCTGACAAAAGACTCACTGACAATTTCTCCCTTACTTTCTACTGAAGGGAAATTTATTGCACGAAAAACGAAGCGCAGCTCTCTTTTTTCCGCGTCTACGTTCTTTGACACTTCGCCGGTGTGCGTTTCGTGATGCTCTGTGTCTTGCATAGCGACTCGCTCTTCAGCACGATTAACTATCACGATTTTCTTGTCCATCGAAAATGCTTCTCCTAGTTACTTTAGCGCAGGTTACTTTCTTCTCTCACTTAAATTTCAAAAATTTCCTCTACACCTTTAGACTTCTGAAAATAAATTCCCTCCGCTGCTCAAAGAGAACAACGTCTGATTGGAATTACAATGATTGACACGATACTTTCACTCATGCTTAATCTGCATAACAAAATAACGGTAATACTCATAATCTCGACAACTAGATTCTCCTTACAAGTTGACGTATTTCTAATACAACTCACATTGGAGAATTACAAACGCCATGTAAAGGCCTTGAGTTTTCAGTTAGCTTTCTTTCAGGCAAAGGGAATAGCTACAATTATTTTTCTTAAGCAGCAACTTTCGTAGCGTCTCAATTCTTTTTGTACATCATAGAGCTACTTACCGTAAAATCAGTCTACTTAAGGGGGAGGTCGAGAAACGTTAGAATAACTTGTAAAAAAAATTATGGGATATTATCCGATCACACGCTATTTGCCTGTGGCGGTTCTTGAAAGAATTCACACGTTTAAATGTAAGTAATTAACCTCCAATTAATGAATGACGTCAGGAAACACTAAATGTGACTCATTTCTGTCGCAATCATGAATGCTACCAACCTCATTCGAAGAGTCCTCATTCTTCCAAAGGAGGAGAAAAATCTGATACATTGCAATACAAATGCAGTGATTTTGGCCACTTTCGGCCGATTTTGAATTTTGAACACTAGTGGCCGTCTTTGGATTTTGGACACCAGTAGCCGATTTTGGATTTTGGCCACTATTGGCCTGTTTTTGGATTTTGGACACTAGCGCCCGATATTTGGTCACTATTGGCCGTTTTTGGATACTAGTGGCCGTTTTTGGATTTTGGACACTAGTGGCTGGTTTTTGGCGATTCTGTTGATATTTAATTATTAGCTTGACGTCAGTAAGTCATTATATTCTAGAATCATTTTTCTCCTTTGGAACAGCGTACTCATAAATATTACGGTAGGATGCGGTCGGTTTTCTGTTTTGTAGGTGAAAAAAAATCTTTTGCAACACCTTCTCGCGTCACCATACAACCTCTGGTTTTCTCCAATGCTATAAAATTTTGCACCATAGCATTAGCCACATGTAGTCCCAGACTGCCTATTTTGCACCATAGCATTAGCCACATGTAGTCCCAGACTGCCTATTTTGCACCATAGCATTAACCACATGTAGTCCCAAACTGCCTATTTCGAGCGTGTTGCTAGGTACACCAATAGAAAGCACGGCCCATAGTACTGTTAATCTTAAACGTTTCAACATATTCATGCTGAGCTGAGGGATATAGTTGAAATTCATCTGGGCCTTTATTAAGTGGATAAGCCGATGTTTGCCCATCTGGGAAAATTATGCCGAGATGTGTCAGCCAAGTTCATTCCAGGCAATCCACTTTAGTTTCTCCAATCCAAGTCACCCTTGTTCTTCCTTAGTTTGTTATTTATACGTCTTTTGTGTTTCTCTTTCCGGCTTGCTGAACAATTTTTTAATAGTCTCCTTCAAGTTATTCAGTATTTCTTTCAATTTTGAAATTACTGATTTAATGAAATATTCAAAGCTTCCTCTATCACTGATTTATTCAAGTAGGATCTGTTTCTTTAATGGTATTGATAGATTTGCATTGACCGATTTGATAAATAAACTAGAAATGTAGAGAAACTGGCTTGCAAATCGAACTGTATCGCGCAGAACTTGTACAACACTGTCTGGTAAGGTGTTTCTCAGAAAAAAGTCTGAATTTTTACTTTTCGTGCCAGACTTTTAACAATAAATTTCATAGAACATTTAAATAGCTTAGCTTTTACAACTGAAATAATCAGTTCCAAATTTAAGGAGAGAAGCTTGCGTCAAATGTTTTGACTCGAAAATTATGCCACTGTTTTTTGTTTTTTGTTTTTTTGGCAAGACATTTTAGACGAGTTTAGTTCTCTCTTCTGAGTCGCATATTAGAGACATTTGGCAAAAACAAATCAGAAAAACAAGAAAACTACAATTGTTTAAAGACAGGGAGCAAGTGGCCATTCGTTTAGTCTTTGTTTTTTGTTTTTTGTTTTTTTTTTTGCTTTTTTCCATGGGATTAGCAAATTCTATTAAAAAATATTTAATTCATGGTTTGACGTCCGCTAACAAATTAGATAAAAAGGCCCGGGATTTGCATATGCTAGTGTGCGCATGTGTTACAGCGAAGGCATATGTTTTATAATTTGAATTGGAGAAAAACTATACACGAAAAATCTGCGGACCTAAGCGATCGATCAAAAAAAAAATGCTTCGACCGGATAATCTAGGATTAAATCTGGAAATTCATCCCGATGCCTTGGTGATGAACCAAGCGAGTAGGGCCGGAAAAACACCCGAAGAAAGCCGAATTTTGAAGGCAAAAGATTACAAACTACCTGTGTTTACAAGATACCGCGAGGGTACCTGTAAAGAAGTTTTTTATTTCGTTCAAGTTGTGGCTCCAAAGTTCGGCCTCGCCGCACATCCTGAAGAAAGCTGTGATGCAGAGAAACGCGTCTTAGAAAAAGTCGTGAATATTCTCAACAACATGAGACCTAAACCGAGATTTTTACTCGTACAGGGAAATTACACGAATGCATCACCAAATGATAAAGAATATTTCCCGCAGATAGAGAGTTTCAAGTCGGTGTTTGAAAATTTAAGCGCGGAGATTCCTGTTGTGTGCGTTTGTGGCCCAACGGACTGCGGTAATCCACCGACATTGGACGGCATCGAAGCATATCGCAATAGTTTTGGCGACGACTGGTTTGCATTCTGGGTGGAAGGAGTTCAATTTTTAGCGATGAATACCAGTTATTACAAAAACCTTATCGCCGATATGGAGAGTTTTAAAACAGAACAACAGGAATGGCTTGAATCAAAACTGTTGGAGGCACAAGTAAACCCGCCAAAACAAATCGTTCTTCTACAAACGACCCCATGGTTTCGCAAATCTATAGATGAGGAAACCGACACGGACAACATTGAATTAAACACTCGCCAAGAAATTGTTCCTAAACTCTTAGAAGCCAACGTAAAATACGTCTTCACTGGTAATTTGAATGGCTTAGGAAAGGACAAAGAATTAGAGATAGTTCAAACAAGTTCTTTAAAAAAATTAGAAGAGGTGGGAAATCCAGGATTTCGTGTTGTCAAAGTCAAACCAGAGGGAGTTGCACATAAATTTTTTTCTTTGGACAACTCCCCAACAGATCTAAATTTAGAATTTTAATAATCATTGCTTTTTGCAGCTGCAATCGACTTCAGATTAGGGTGTAATCCGATAACTCAAATGTTAGAGCCCAGAATCAGGTTCTCAAAAAATTTCCACAACCGCTGATTCCGTCTTGCTGGGATAAGAATATTGCAGACATTTTCATTATTTTCACCCTGCTGGCGCAAAGCGATTAATCAATGAAGAGAAACATTTCAAAGGAAAGAAAATCAGAAGTTAAATATTTGCTGTGGGTCAGAGACAAGTATCGAATCAAATATATATCAAAATTGTTTGTATGTATTCTTAGAAGTGGTCTTTCCTGAAAATATTAAACTGCGATTTTCGGTTTCTACTTAATTGAGGTAGTTTGTACAAAAGTGTTTATAATTTTAAACAAGGCATTTTCTTCGTGGCAAATAGAATATTTATGAATTTAATTCGCTGTCATCAAATTCGTGATTTAGCATCAAGTTGGCATTTTCTAAGTTCGTTTAGTACCTACCACAAGACAATTAACGAGCTGAAATGAGATTCTCGGCTTTCACAAAGTCCTCTCGTCGTATTAAGGAAATGATTTTAACCGCGAATGCATAGGACAGATCATATTTCAACAATTCATTTTAGGACTATGGTAATTTCGCTTGCATCTTGTATGAACATTTTTATTTGGTCAAGACACTTTTTGTCGAAGTTGTTTCGCATTGAAGATGAAAAAAGAAGACATTTCTTTTAGCCAACGAAAGTCGAACAAATGATTATGTCACAACCGTTTTGGTTACTTTCAGTTTGGAGAATAATACATAAAAACTTAGAAAAAGGTTTGAAAATTGAATATCTAGTAGCATAAGTATGCTTTTCTTAGAAATTAGGGTTTGGTTCCCTAAAAAATAAAAAGAGCGTTCTTCGAAGGGAGTGTCGTAAACCAAAATCAAAATTATCCCAAAGGCCAATCAAGAGAAAGGAAATTACCTTTGGGGGACAATGAGAATCAATGTAAAACCAACCCAACTACCTAATGCGCGGGAAAATGCGGGCGACCAGGCCGTGATTGGTTTTAGTTTCACATCTGATTGGCTAAGAGAGTGGTGCGATTTTTCTGGACCAATCACAGAGCGACGTGAACTAAAACCAATGCGATCCCAGATTGTTTTCAACGCTCAGTTGTAAATTGCTCATCATCCAATCCAGGATTACTGAGTACCGGTAATTTAGTCAAACCGACAGTAATTTTCTCCTTCCCAATCGATTGTTTCTTGTCTTGACGCCGGATATGCAAGGTGACTACGCGGTAAATTAGTCAGGGAATTCAATAGTTGGAAGTAGAATGGCTCCATAGAGGAAGTTTCTGACGCAGCTCATTTTTGCGGTTGCTGGAAATTCCGGTGATTACATCGGAAAAAAATAAATTAAACCGCTTGAATGCCCGTTGAGCTCCCTATTGATTCTCTTCGCCCTTTCTTTTTTTTTATTTTATTTGTAAATCTAAGTTGAAGGCCGAATTTGTACCCTAAGGAAAGAACACGCGTTGTGACATGATCAAACAGCTGAAAATAGGAAAAAGCCCGCCTCTTCTGTCAAAATGCAAAGAAAAATAAAATGGATCACACTTTTTTAAGAACACATTCACACATTTTTCTGTGCATCAAATTGTTTAAAACAGTATGTGTCCCATGCTTGGGCCAAATTTTCAACTTATTTTTCCTACAGCATCTTTAGGTCATGATCTTCAAGGTTAATTTACATGTTTTCCTCTTGTACATGCCTGTCTTCTCAATTTATTTGGTTTTCATTCACTTTCCCTCTAGATTTTTTATCAACATCCGAAGGATAAATTTTTTACGATTTACAGTAGTGCACAGCGCATATCTCATCATTTGACTGAGGACAAACATTGCCAAATGCAGTGATTTAATAGAAGATTCTCAGGGATCAACAATCAACAAAATCTAAATAATCAATCAAAAAAGACTGACAGATCAGGGCTATACTTTCAACAAGCTGTGTAGACAATAATATCAAATACTTTCCTATGCCAAAAATTTTTTTCCTCTCAAATCTGATCCTAAAACTGAAAGAGTTTATAAAAGGGCAAAACTACTTTGGGTATGGTAGTAAGTGGATAAAGAAGGTAAAGTGGGGTGGGGTAAGGCTGTATGAAACTTTCTAAGACCTACAGTCTCTTCTCCCCCAGGGTAAAACTACTTCAGTTTTGCTTTTTCCACAGCTTCGTTTTAACAAGTCAAGTTTTGCAAGGTTAAACCATATATTTGAAAACAAATAGTAGCAAACTGTTAACTACAAAATACAGAGCTAATCCGAGGTTACAGCTGTTGATGTGCCGTGTTATTTTCAGTAGCAATGCAACATACAGTCTAGTCCATTCTTGCTTTTAGTGTCCTAGTCGTAATCTTATCTTTCTCAATCACATGAACAATGCCACCCCAACCACTGACAGCGTCTCGATCCACAGCATTCATCAAGGCTTGGGAGATGGTTTCGAACAGATCATCTGGTTCGAGGTCTGGCTCCCACAGAGACTCGCACATTCCATACATCTGCTCCGAGCAAGTGCCACTCACCACAAAATCTTTCGTCTCCATCGGGCATCCGATCAGATCTAACGTCGCGATATACGGCTCATTGGTCTTCGGATCTAACCCGGCGATCACCGGTTCCACAAAGTAAGGCCCGAACCTCCTTTCATAGAGCAAGTTTGACACCATGCTCATGAAAGTTTTGGGCTTGATCTGACGGTTTTCTCGCAGTTCATACAAATTCTTGCGGAAAGTTAGCCGGTTTGACACGGTTTGTACGTCCGTCGCTAGCCCAGGAAGACCCAGAAAAAGCTTGTCACCCATTTGAAAGATTTTCTGAAAATCGCAAGACAAAGTTTGAGCTTGAATTCCTAAACGTCGATCTGCCGCAACTGCGACACAATCTTTGCCGACCATAGCTATGATGGCAGCACCGTTATATTCCATAATAGACATATTGAAGTTTCTGTGGGTATGTCTTTAAATTGTCGAACTTTCGTCTGATGAAAAATCTTTTGTGGCGCGAGCACACCACCGTAATCAAGATGGCGGCTGCTGACTAATTGGAGTGGTTACCAAGTTTCAATCGAGCGGCTACTAAGTCTTCACTGCTGAGGCACTCTGGGAATTAGTTTGAGTGTCTGTAGTGGACAAAATTATACAAAGGAAGGATTTGCAAATGACCTGAAATTTTATAGACATTCTTGTTAAACTGAACTAGCAATCATGAGTGGATGCTTTGATAATATTTACTTCCCTGATATGGAGGCTGTTGTCGAGAGAAGGAACTTAATTTCGTCAATTTCAGCCGGAACTCTGGTAAACTTAACTTATATTTTAAATATTATTGAAATCAGTATCTATTCATAGGAAAAGGTTATGTTTTAATGCCGAGGCAGTCTTATTAAGTCATTAAACTCGTCATCATGAAATAATTTTTTTCATACTGGTTTCAGTACAGCCTACCTGAGGTACATAAGAAGTAAAAAAATATGTATTACAAGCTTCCAGGACAATTTCTCTCGCAACTTTCTTGATCGATTGGAGCTTCTTGAACGCAGAGACCTTAGAAACAAGACTCCGAGCTTTGGATTAAGTTTCTCGATCGTTAGGGGAAAAAGTAGAGCGGAAAGACGTTTTATTCATTGTTATTTGATATTTTAGGCAAATGTTTATCTCACTTTAACTTTAGTCTAGTATTTAGCATGTTATGACTTGCTATGACTTGTCGAAGGCTACTGAGACTAAGTGCTGTTTCCTGAACCATGGAGACAACTTTAAAGTCTATCTCTACTTGTTTGTTTCACTCCCACAGACTGATATCTAAAATTTGCAAGCAAAATATGTCAAAAACTTAATCAGTCATTACAGAATTGAACCCAAATCTACCATATTTAGGTACTTCTATTTTGGTAATAGAATATTATGATTTTGGAATGTGACAACACCCCTACCCTACCTCAGTAGTAATTTGTAGTCGAACATTTTTCACTAAGAGGATTCCCACATCATGACTCCAAGATTCTGTGTCATAATTATTTAAATTTAACCCTTTACAGCCTAACATCAGTATGCATATTCTCCATACTGTTCTCTATACATTTCCCTAGGTACCAAAAAGGAGAGCTTCTTTAGTTGGTGATAATTTCCTCTATTTTCATGACCTTCATGTTTGATTCAGGGGTAATATTGTTGGGAGAAATTAGATGTTAACCACTTTTACAGGTTAAAATTTAAGATAAAAAAGTGAGGCAGTACTGAATGTCTGTAAATTTTATTGTCTTGACTGTTTGTTTTTGTCCAACCGATAGTTTTTCTTTGGCTGGTGGATAATGATTGATAATGCAGCGAACGAAGATTTTGAGCCTGCATATCATACCCCAGGCGTTATAGCCTCAGTGGGTGTTTTTATGTAAGTATGTGGTTTGTTTTTCCTTTCTCACAAAAATCGTCACTGATATTTTTGCTTTTCAATTGCTGGATGTTGGTTAGGTATGCTCAAAAATTTTTGCATTATTCATTTGAGCATCACCCCTTAAAACATGGCATTATGATCAAAATAAAGCTTAAATTTTTTCAAAGCATTAACTCTAAATAACACCCTTTAAGAGCCTTTCAACCTTTCTCCTCCCCAACCGGATCAACTAATAATCCCCTAACTGATATTTTTCTTTATTCTCATCTCTTGTCTGCTTGACATTCTATTGATATTGTAAGGAGAAATTCTGTCTTGGTCACACATGTATGGGAGTTAAAGGGCTAAGAAGTTTTGTCAGTATGCCGGCATTATGCCCCAACTAAAGCATTATGCCCAAAATTAAGCAGGCATGATTAATCTGACCCTAACAGTGATCCACCAACAGTTCTCAGGAACATTTCCATACTGTGTGATAGCATTATATGTTGAGTGGAACGGTCAATCCATGTTGTCTTCTCAGCTGCATCTTGAGTCCTTTCATCAAGTAGTAAGGAAACAAAGCACTGTAACAAGACATTTGCTGTTGTATACAAACCTGAAATTACATTTTATATTTTTATTTTTTTGCACACAGGATTAATGCAGTGTCAAATGCCCAGGTTAGAGGAGAGACATATGGCACAAGTTGCATTGGACAAACAGGTATGGATGATCACTTACCTGACCCTGCGAACCATAGTGCTTGATAAACAAATATTGTGGATCAAAAATCATCAAAAGATATTTTTATGGAAAATCTGTGAATTTTTCAGAAAGCATCCAATTAAGCAGGTAAAAATTGCTTGTTAATAGTTTGCATTCAAAACAATGGAAATTTTTGGCAAAATTCCCTATCACTGGTAGGTTACTTTTGAGGTCTTTTGCGTACAGGTGTAGTTGAGATTGATCCTGCAGGGCAATTTAGGGGAGGGGTGTATAGAGTGTGCAATCCCCCC